GCACCATATAGGGCGAGTGGTACGTAAGGCTTCCCGGTGAATCTGAGTACTAGTAAGTCCTTAGGGATGACCAAGCCAGAATGTCTCCATCAGGGTTTCCATTTACCGTGCCACCACAGCACCTCCACCCTAGGCTCCTCCCATCATAGGATCACACCCAGGGTCACCTCATATACCTTTTACCCGCCACAGGTATCCATTCCAGGGGTGCCCAGGTAGCACCCCACGGCAAGACTTGCCCTAGGCTCGTCATATACTCCAACTTGGTCGACACAACCCTCAGCCTCCATGCATCCAAGTCACACACACATCACTCTCCCCATGGTTCAGATAACACCAGTTTCCACCACGCATCAATGTAGTGCAAGCGTAGTAGAAGTAATAAGCGATGAAATGTAATAGCAAGCGTGTGTCTAGCCTATCAGCAGGGTGAGTAGGGGTAAGGTCGCGTCAAGGTAAAGGCCGTCAAGAAGACATACTACCATGCAAGTCCTACCATAATGTGATCATGACAATAAAGTAAGCACTAGCATTTCTATATTAGCCATGCATAACAGGTGCTACGAGATTGGGTGGGATGTGGCACCTTCAGTGTAGTCGTCTCCGTACTCCTCATGGTACTCACGATCCTCATTCGTCCGGTTCTCCTCCGAGTCTACAAACGACCGCATTATAGTCGCGTTAGCGACGTCTATAGAATAGCACAAAGAAGGAATGAAAATTCAAAAGAACCAAATGCACTCAAGCATGGGTCCATTGCGTAGAGCTCAATTTTAGATGAATTTTGGTCCTGGTTTCGTATTTTTCTGAGGTCATATGAATTAGTTATGAATTTCCGAAGATTCAATCCATTTCTGAAAATGAAAAAGGCTGAATTAATCCTGGGCTGACACGTGTCACGCTATGGTTGGTCCACGTGGCTTGCTGACGTCAGCATGACGTCACCTCGGCCGTGCTGCTACTGGCAAGTGGGTCCCGCGTGACGTCAGCACGACGTTAGTATGACGTCAGCATCGGACATGTGGGTCTAGTGTGTCTGTGCCACTGACATATGGGACCAGGTCAACAGTCATGGTTGACCAGTCAATGGTCAATACGGGCCGGGTCTCAAACTGGCCTGGACAGGGCTGGATTTGGGCCGGTCTGGGCCGGGCTGACCCGTACACGTGGCGTGCTGTGGCGCTGCCACGTCACGGCCTTAGGCCTCCACTGGGCTGTGGTCGTTGGCTGTGGGCGTGAGCGTGGCTCACGGTGGACCAAGAGGCACTGGTCCATGGACCTAAGGCAGGGTCCCTGGTGGACCAAGTCCACCGTTATTTCCCGTGGCTCGGCTCTTGTGCACCGGGTGTAAGGCTGCGCTGCTCAACTCGCACCTCCTCCTCTGTTTCTTCCACGGTGCGCTCCCACCGGCGACGTACTCACCGACGAGCTTCCGCAGCGGTGCTAGCCCCCAATTGGCGTGGGAAAAAGCACCGTCAGGCTTTGGCGACTGCGATGGTGGTGTCGGGGCGACGGCTAGGGCTCCCTAGGTCACTGGCCATGGCGAACGGTGGCTCGAGCACAACCGGCGTGCGAGGGTGGCGCTGGTGTAGCGGCATAGGTCGGGTCTATGGTGCGCGTGAGCGTCATAGTGCTCCAGCGGATATGTTGGGCAGGTCGAGGGGTCCTCCAGGGCCTCCGGTGGCCTTGGCCACGGCGGCGGCCTTCCGAGCACGACGGCGGCGTCGGTGTGGGGGCTACGGCCACGGTGAAGCGTCTCGATGGGGTGCGTAGGCTCCTATGGATCTGTGGGGACGCGGCGAGGACGTCCAGGGCTCAAGGCGGGGTTTCGGGTTTCCAGGTGGTCGGTAGGGGCTTCCCGGCGGCCACAGCGACATGGTGACGACGGCGAGGCGCACGGGTGCACTACAGGGCTCCAGCGGGGTGGTCATGGCGTGCGCATGAGTTATCCGCGACTCCAGCGAACAGGATGGGCGATACGAGGAGACGCCAGGCGCTCCCAGCGGACCTAGCCACGGTGGTCTGGTGCTCGGGCCGGTGGTGGTGGTGCTCTGGCCGGTGGTCTGGTGCTCCGGCCAGTGGTCTGGTGCTCTGGCCGGTGGTCTGGTGCTCTGGCCGGTGGTGGCCATGCCACGACGGCGGCGTTGCGAGCGCGATGAGTGAGTGCTCTTCCTTGGCGTCCGTGGGGCTTGGAGGGGTCTACAACGTCCAAGGGCTCGGAGGTGGTTGCGGTGGGCGCGTGAGTGTGCCGTGCGTGTGTACCCGGTGGCCGGAGATGGCCTTGGCCTACGCGCTCATGATGTGGAGCGCCTTGGCCGACACGGTAAGGTCCGGCGGCGAGCAGGGAGAGGCCGGAAGGCTCACCGTAGGTGTTGAGGGCGAGAGGATAGCGGTGCAGTGAAGTGTCGAGGCCATGTAGCTCTGGAAGCCGTGCCATGCAGTGTCGTCCGCTCTGGCTCCGGTGATCTCCCGGTCTTCCTCCCGGCAGCGGCTCCGATATTTCCTTTCCCCCCCCCCTTCTTCCTCTCCTCCCTCTTCTCTCTTAGCTAGGGTGTGCTGTGGATGGCCACAAGGTGGCGGCGGGGCACAAGAGAGCGCTAGGGCAACCGAGGGCCGTGGCTTTATGGCCGTGGCTTTATAGCCGAGCTCCGAGCTCTAATGGCGGACGGCGATCGAGCGGTGGAGGCGTGATCAGTGGCATCCAATGGCTCGCGTGCGGTGGCGTAGGCGCGGCGCAAGGGTTGTGTGGGTGCGGCGCCAAGGAGACAGGGCCATGCCCCGGGCGTGACCCCTGGCCCGCCCTGCCACCACTGTCGGGCGCTGGTCGCGTAGGCGGTTGAAGCGTGGGTGAGGAAGACGACACTGTAGACGGGTGTGCGGCTGACACGCGGGGTCCAGCGGGCAGCGGCTGCGGGCGAAGAAGAAGGGCGCGCGGGTGAGCAACGCACTGGGCCGTGAGCTGGGCTGTTGCACGCGAGTTGGGCCGGCCGGCTGCTACTGCGCGCGTGCTGGGAGGCGGCCACGATGGGGCTGGCTGGGCTGGCTAGCTTGGGCCGAGCGGCTGGCTGCGAGGCCCACTTCTTCTTTTCCCTTTTTCTGTTTTTCATTTCTTTTCCATTGTTTGGATTCAAATTTGGTTTAGAATTTGAATTCAAAACTGAGGTAACTTATTCATTGGAGTTTAGAGAATTTTGTTTAATAATAACTTTATGGTTTATTATTTTATTGGAGTTGTTTAGCAAATCATAACTCAAATGGAAATCCAAATCACATTTTGAATTAATAATGTATGCAACATTATATTTGTTAGAAACTAATAAACACAGTTATCTAATGACATGCCATGCTTATATGTTGACTGGGGTTGGGTTAGACTTAATGCATCTCTTAGGTTGGGTTTCTATACATGACACTCATCATCACATGGGATTTTTGAGGAAAAATTTTGTAGTTGGTATTTTTGGTGTATGGATTTTTGGGTTGTTACAGCGACCGCATAGCCAGGATCTCGGTGTGCCGTGCTCCGCCCGCCTGGTTGCTATGTTTTGCTGAAAAGTGCATGTTGCAAGCGTATGTTTTGAGTGTTTCAGATGTTTCAGGGGTATGTTGTAAGTGTTTAAGATGGATGTTGCAAAAGTAGATCGGGATATTGCATATGTTGCAATTGCAATGGTAGTACACATATGTTGAAAAGGTGTATTACCAATGTTTCATATGTGTTTTTGGGATGCATGTTGCAAGTGTATTTATCTGGATGTTGCATATATTTCACACATACGTTGCATGTGTTTTATCTAGATGTTGCGTATGGTTGCAATGGTTTTCAAGTGTTTTCAGGTGTTTTTTCAAGTGTTTTAAAAGCATGTCTCAAGTGTTTTATCTGTCTTCAGACGTATGTTGCAACTGTTGTATTTGGTGTTTTAAAAGCACGCCTTCTGCTGCATCGTCTCGGTGTGTCCTTTTTCTGGCACCGGCAGGACATCGATATGACACCACGCCTGGGTCCTTCTAAATCAGAGACACTGCCCCTTCTGATCTTATCGATTGGGTGACGTGGGCCAACATGAAATGCGGGAATGGGCATCCGTTTAGACGTGCGAACGCTAGCAACCGTCCAAGAACTAGCCATGCCAAAACTAAACGGGGCAAAACCACCCCCAATCGCGTTTGACAGTGCCGGGACGAGGAGCCCGAACCCGTTTAGCACTTCGATGTATCCAGCCGTCAATTTGAGGTAGAACTCCATCCATCCGTCCATTCCGTCTCAATCTAAAAAATTCTCCACTGGTCATCCCTACGTCACTCCCCAGTCCACCGCCCAAGCGCCACCTCTGCCAGATCCCGACTGCTCAAGCGCGGCCGCCGCCCCTCCCATCTCCCACCCATGACCCAACTGCCGCCGCCCGTCCCTACTGTCTCCCATCCAATCACCGACGTCCGCCAGTTGGATGCAGATGCAGGATTGGTCGGCGGACGGTGGGTGCTCGGGAATCCTCAACGCCACCTGATTCCCTATACAGAGAAGGTGATACTCCTGTAGTCCCGCTACCACCTCCGATTCTAGTTTTTTTATTTCGTTTTTCTTTGGCCGCCGGCTTCCTCCTTCAGTTGAGCATACCATGCCTTCGTCGGGGACGGGGACCCGTATAGAATCCTCGGGGAAATTTCCCGTTGACATCGCTAGAGAGGAGAGCACTGGCAGTCCACGTGCCCTTCCGCTCTTCCGGGGTGAGTAGAAAGACTTCCTCGATCTTTACGTTCCGACTACAGACTGATAAACATGGCTGTTGCGTGGCCCTATGCGTTGAACATCACACTCTCACCGTCTCGTGTATGTGTGCGTATTGTAATCTTGCATCCAGCGGTCCACCCTTGCTTGTATATAGAACGTCGTCTCCCTCCCAAGTCAGCAGAGTGGGGCTGGAGCTGGAGCACAAACCCGCTCCTCCTCTTGTTTCGCTGTTGCTAGCTAGGCAATAAGCTACCACTTCTTCCTGACCATGGCGGTGGTGCTGGGTGCATTCGCGGCCAAGCTGGCCGGCATCCTGATGGGCATAGCGAAGGAGGAGGTGGAGATGCTCCTGGGCGTCCCTGGTGAGATCACCAAGCTCGAGATGACGCTCGGTGACCTGAGCGCCATCATGGCGGACGCCGAGGTGGCGCGCATTCGAAGCAACACCGTGGAGAGGTGGGTCAGGGAGCTCAAGGACGCCATGTACGACGTCGACGACATCCTCGACCTCTGCCAGATCATGGAGAAGGGTACTGGTGGGGAGGAGGATCGGGATCCCACGACAATTCCAAGCAGAACCGCTTCTTCAAGGTGCTTCAGCATCACCCCGCCGACGACCATGTTCTTCTGCTTCCGCAACCCCGTCGCCGCACACGAGATCGGGAGGAAGATCAAGGCGCTCAACAAACGGCTGCGCGACATCGCGGAGAGGAGCTCCCGCTTCGGGTTCATCGTCCGGGAGCTCCACTCCTCCATTCTTCACTCCACCAACGGAGCTGCTGCAGGCTCTTTGTTGGGCTCGTCAGACAGCATCGTCCGGTCTGGTGTTGTGGGCGACAAGATCCAGAGAGACGCGCAGGACCTCGTCACCCTGCTTCTGCAGGATGAGGTGGATGCTGATGCTCACCGAACCAGCAGCGGCAATGTCATTGTCTCTGCCGCTATCACAGGTGCTGGCGGCATCGGCAAGACCACCCTTGCCAGGATGGTGTTCAACAACGACAAGGTGGAGCAGAGCTTCGACGAGAGGATATGGCTGAGCATCAACAAGGAAGTCGACCAGCTTAGTGTCCTACGGAGCGTCATTGCTGCACTTTGCGGCGGCAGCGCCGTGGGAGACAGCAGGGCCCTGCTCGAATGTGCTCTGAAGCAGGCGGTGCGGCAAAAGAAGCTGCTGGTGGTGATGGATGATGTGTGGAGCGAGGACGTGTGGAGTGGCCTTCTCAGCGCACCACTTGCCGATGCTGCTGCTCCGGGGAGTCGAGTGTTGGTGACAACTAGAAACGATGAAGTCGCTCGCGAGATGAAGGCGCGCCATGTCCATAGAGTTGGCAAGCTAGAAGGCGACGATGCTTGGGTCCTACTAAAAAAGCAGGTCAGTAAGTTTTACCTATTTATTTTTCCTATAAAAAATAAATTCAGTTGCACAAATGTATTTTGTAGTGACTCGAGGCATAAGGCACCGTTTGGAACACGGGATTTGTTTTTCTCGTAGGGCAAAAAATATCACTTACTACCATTTTTCTCTCCACGGTTTTAAAAAGATAATAAAATATTTTTATCATGCCATACAATTGACTGTAATTTTATAATGGTAACTAGCAAATTTCGGTGTTTGTGGTGTGAACCAGCCAATATAATATTTTTCGATGTCCAATATAAAATTTCTTTATAGATATACTTATACTCATTTGGTATTGTAAAAGGTATTATTCTTTGAAGGGTAAAGTCCACTTTAGGACCTCCAACTATCACAGAAGTATGGATTTCAACCTTCAACTTCAAAACCGGATAACATTGGCCCTCCAACTCTCGAAAAAGTTCACTTTAGGACCCTGGCCGGTTTCCCTGACGGTTTTGCATGGCATTTATGTAGATCTTTGACGTCGCCGATGACGTCGAGACTTTTTTTAATTTGCAAAATTGATATCTTTTTATTCGAGAGCTTCAAATATAGCAAATAATATATCAATTTTGATCGTCTCGACGAGCTCTTTTGCAATGGTGTACTCCGTTTTGTTGTTTGAGATAATTTTATTTCATGAAAAAATAAATATTTCTACAAAACAAGTTAGAATAATGAACTCGTGGAATTTGTTAGATAAATAATATTTTTATTATTATGTAACACGAAATGTTGTCTTTTAGGTTCATTTGACCATAGAATATATAAGTTTGACCATTTTTGAAATGCAATAATTCAAAACTTGTTTTGTAGAAATATTTCGCTTCGTGTCCGCTTCCGGTCATAAATATTTCTGCAATAATTCAAAATATTTCGCAATAATTCAACAAGGGCGCCGTGTCCGTCCGGTTCGGCTCGGCCGCACGACACGAGCTTCGCTTGCAGTGCTGCCACCTCGCGTCGGCGCGGCCTTGCGAGAAGCTTGACGAGGCGCACTGCAACGCCGACGCCACGGAGATCCTCGCCGACGACGACCTTCCATGGGGCACGCGCTCAACTTACCGATGCCGCACAAGATTCTAGACCACGAGTAAGCCACTCACTATTGCTTTGCTACTGCTCCCTCAATTCAATCTAGCTATCCACCGCCACTTCATGCGGTCATACTCATGCCATGCCACCAGAAAACAGATATCGTACATGTGTCGGTAGAATGGTCGCCCGGTTCTCGTGTGTCTTTGCAATAGTAGCCATAGGAAAGGAAAAAGGACAGTGTACATGAATCGATATCTTTGTATCGGATTTGGGTACAAGATAAATATAATACTACTACTACCACTAGCTACTTAATTTCACCACAAAAACAGAAAAAAAAACTACACTAGGAGCAGTAAACATATCGTTTGATCGTGTCATATGTTGACAGTTAGTTAACCGCAGCTAGGGAAGGTTAATTCAAAAATATCTAAGCGATCGTGGCAGGTCTGATTGACCGTCCAACTCCCTGTTTTATATACTGACTACGTTGGTGTTGTACATATATAAATATACAAAGTATATAAAATACTTGCATACGTCAACCTTAATTGCATAACTTGTTTTGTAGAAATATTTATTTTTCATGAAATAAAATTATCTCAAACAACAAAACGGAGTACACCATTGCAAAGAGCTCGTCGAGACGATCAAAATTGATATATTATTTGCTATATTTGGAGCTCCGAATAAAAAGATATCAATTTTGCAAATTAAAAAAAGATCTTGACGTCGCATCGTCGACGTCAGCACTCTACTGATGCCATGCAAAACCGCCTGGGAAACCGGCCAGGGTCCTAAAGTGAATTTTTTCGAGAGTTGGAGGGCCAATGTTATCCGGTTTTGAAGTTGGAGGTTGAAATCCATACTTCTACGATAGTTGGAGGTCCTAAAGTTGAAAAGTTTGGTTAAACTTAAAATAGTTTATTTTGGGACAAACTAAAAACTCTTTATATTCCTGGGCACTCTCCTCCCATGCAGCCTCTAACATGACTCATTTTTATGACAGGTAGTCTCCGATGAGATTGATGAAGTTGAGGTCGATGGATTATTAAAGGATATTGGGATGAAGATTGTGGAAAAATGTGAGGGATTGCCGCTGGCAATTAAGGTGCTTGGAGGACACTTGTTCCATATCAGCAAAACAAGAGATGCTTGGGCGCGTGTCTGTGACCACTTCGCATGGTCGATATCAGGAATCGATGATGATATCAACAAGGCTGTCTACTTGAGCTACGAAGAGCTGCCTTCAGACTTGAAACAATGCTTTGTATACTGCTCACTTTTCCCTAACAATGAACCGATCAGGCGTGAAGATATAGTCAATCTCTGGATCTCAGAAGGCTATGTGAACAACAAAACGACAGCGTTGTCAGAGCTTTTTGAAGATGTGGGGCTCAAGCACTACAGAGAGTTGGTCTCAAGGAATCTCTTAGAACCGAAGAAAGGGTCCTATGGTCATTCAGCATGCACCATGCATGATGTCATCCGCTCCTTCGCCCAGTACATAACAAAACATGAAGGGGTCCTTGTTGGTGAGGGCCAGGATGCCAATATCGCTCTTGCTGCTGCTCCAAAGATCCGTCGCCTATGTATATCAAACCAGGTGGTAGAGCCCGGCATTCTGCGGAAACAGGTATCCCTTAGAACACTGATGTTATTTGGAAGCACTGTGGTTAATTCAAAGGAGTTATGGAGCAACCTTTCGTCATGCCTAAGAGTACTGTATCTAGATAATGTAAATCTTGATGAGCTGCCGGACACCATATGCCACCTCAAACATTTGAGGTGCTTGAGCCTTTGCGCTACAAGCATATCCACAATCCCTGAAGTCATAGGAGATCTTCAGTTTTTGCAAGGCATTGAGCTTGTAAAGTGTAGCAATATCTCACAGCTTCCTAATAGCATCTTGAAGCTACGGAAGCTAAGGCTACTCAACATTAGAGAAACCAAGATAACCTCAGTTCCTCGTGGTTTTGGAAAGCTGAGAGATCTGGTCATAATGGGGGGCTTTCCAACCCACTCGGAGGATGGCGCGGAAGGTTGGTGCAGCTTGGAAGAGTTAGGGTCTCTGACGAAGCTCAGAGTCCTAGATGTTATAGGTCTGGAGAAGGCACCTCCAGGTTCAGTGGCTGCTAGAGCAAAGCTCTGCAACAAAGAGCACCTAAAAGAGCTGAACATGAAATTCACAAGTCAGCTCGGAGACAATGGAGAGCTCAGAAGCAACATCAGCAAGGAGGAGCAAGACCAAGCTGAGCAAGTGTTGGGTAACTTGTGCCCTCCTGCCTGCATAGAAGAACTTGTCATCAAAGGTTACTATGGGTTGGGCTTACCACAGTGGGCCAGGATGATGACAGCCTTATTCCGCGCCTTAAGGCGGTTGGTCCTGGAGGGTTACGCGTGTTGCGAGCAACTGCCAAACGGACTCGGCCAGCTCCCCTTCTTGGACTACCTCTGGATCGATCAAGCTCCAGCCATCCAGTGTATTGGGCATGGTTTCCTCCTCACTCCCTCGAGTGATGGCCAGGACAATGCAACATTGGGAACAGCGACAGACTTGATCATGAGTAGGCAGTCGCCTGCTAGTCTTATCTCTCGTGGTGCTGGCTTTGCATTTCCCAAGCTGACTGCACTGGGTTTCGAGGGCATGTCAGGATGGACAGAGTGGGACTGGGAGCAGCAGATACCGGCAATGCCCGCTCTGGAGGGGCTTACGATCGACGGCTGCAAACTGCATCGTCTTCCTCCTGGACTCTCATGCCATGCAACTCAGCTGACGCTCTTGGACCTAAGAAATGTGCTGAACCTGGTCACCGTAGAGAGCTTCCCTTCCCTCACTGAGCTCAAGTTATGGGACAACCCAAGGCTGGAGAGCGTCATCAGCTGCCCAAGGCTGCACAAGATCACCATCTGCAGTTGCCCAATGCTGAAGCTACTGGAGAATGTGCCGGCGCTCGGAACAGCCATGTGGATGGATTTGGGCGCTGAGACGCTGCCAACATACTTGCAAGAGGCAGAGCTAAGCAAATTGAATGTATATTGCAGGCCCAGCCTGTTCAAGCTGATATCGTTGCAGTATGACACCCCTGAATGGGGGAAGGTCCAGCATGTCCAGCGCATGAAGGCGTATGCCATGGAAGCACCGGGAGACGGGTTGAAGGGCTATATGGACTACACCAAGGAGCCGTATTCCTTTCGTGCACACTTGTTCTGAAGTCCGCAGGTAGGTACATAGCTTCATTGTTTTGATCATGCACATTTCAGCTTTCAATTTGTTCTCTGTTCTGCCCGTGGCCGCTAAGAATGTACACTGGATATAGTAGTCATGCAGACGACGTAATAATGTTGCAAGTCTGAAAGGATCTTTTTGCCAATTTGAACTCGTTTATGTTTTCCTGTTCTTACTTACTTTTGCTTTCATGCAAAGATGAAGACGAGAAGATGACGAGGAATACAAGAGGAATATGGCAGAAAGATGACGAGGAACGCAAGAAAATGTTAAGCGGAAGTGAAGCTTCAGATTGCTTTAAGAGAGAGGGAATCATTTTATTCCATCGAATGAGATGGTCGTACGGGAGAGAGAGAGAGAGAGAGAGAGAGAGAGAGAATTAGTTTTTCATTCTTTTGCTAAAATTATTTTTTCTGGTTTATGGAATTAGGTAGTAGAATCTTAGAAAAAAAAATCTTCGTTCTTTCGGTCTGCATCCCTGAATTGTTTAGTAGAGGATTTTCCTGTTCCTAGCCAGAATTCCTACCAGTCTGCCAGACGAGCTCTAGATATTTACGCTTCATCTTCCATTTTGTCGACCATCTATGTTTTATATAAGCTCGTGAAGGAAAATATATTACACGGTGAATTTGTTTGGTTTATGTTCTACTCCCTCTGTCGCAAAATATAATTTGTTTTGACTTTCTAGATATATACTATATGTATAGTAAAATGGTAATGCTCACGGCATTTTCTTTTTAAAAAAATCACCGTAGCACCGTGACTGCGCTTCATGACCACGCGCGCTCTATCGCGCCTCCCGCCAGCCTTCCTCTCCGTCGTGCCTCCCGCCCACCTTCCTCTCCATCGCCGTGCCCAGCCACATCCCGCGCTGCTCCGCGCCCCGCGCTTTGCCCCCATCCACCTCGCCCCGTCGCAGAAGGAGAGGCACGGGAGGCCTGCGCCTGCGCCCCCATTTAGAGCGCTCGTTGGCAGGAAGGAGACGCCTGTGCTTTGTGCCTGGAGTGTACGTTGGACCGTTTCTCTCGACGTCCCTCTAACCTGAGCTCGTTGGCTACTGAAGTTTCCCACCGGGTAGGCTGTGGCGCCAGCGACACCGTGTTTCAAGTGTTTCAGGCGTTTTAGATTTATGTTTCAAGTGTTTCATCTGAACGTTGCAAATAGATGTGGCAAGCCTATGTTTCAGGTGTTTCATACGTATGTTTGAAGTGCTTCATCTAGATGTTGCATATGTTGCTATGGCTCTATACGCATATTTCAAGTGTTTCAGACTCATGTTGCAGGTGTTTTATCTGGATGTTGCAAAAGTAGATCTTGATGTTGTGTATGTTGCTATGGCTCTATACGCATGTTTCAAGTGTTTCAGACTCATGTTGCAGGTGTTTTATCTGGATGTTGCAAAAGTAGATCTTGATGTTGCGTATGTTGCTATGGCTATAATTCAGACGTATGTTGCAAGTGTTTCATTTGGATGTTTCAAAAGTAGATATGGGAGAGCACGTGTTGCAATGGCGCTAGTAGCTGGCGGACAATGGCCGCCACAACCGCCTGCTACTGCTGGGGCGCCTACGTGGGTCACCGTGCAGGCCCCTAAGGCTGACAGACTCCTCCGCGACACGCATCCGCAAGCGGGGCCGGTGACTAGGATCCACGTGGGGCCTGGGGATGGGCGCGGGGTGCGGGGTGGGCTACTGGGCGCGGGTGCGACATCCGGACGCTGGATAAGATGCGGACTCAAGACGTGGGATGCGGTGCAGGATAACGCAAGAGAGCTACGTCCGGACGTCCATTTAGACGTCCAGACGCTAGCCCTTCCGATACTAGAAGCTATATATATATATATATATGACAAAAACATCCGGTGCTGATGGTGAAACTAAAGATTCTCTGACTTCTCAACGTTTGCCAATTTGAATTCGTTTATGTTTTCTTGTTCTTATTTTTATTTCCCTGCAAAGGGTTGAAGACGAGAAGGTGACGGGGAATACAAAGAGGAATATCACAGAAAAAAAGCAAGAAAATCCCAAGCAGAAGACGAAGCTTCATTAAACCTGTTACTAGCTATAGCTGTTGGTGTCCTGTAGATTGTTGATTCTGTTTAAGCCCTTGTTTAGTTCGCGAAATTTGGATTTTGGGGCTACTGTAGCACCTTCGTTTTTATTTGGCAAATAGTGTTCAAATATGGACTAATTAGGCTCAAAACGTTCGTCTCGCAATTTCCCACCAAATTATGCAATTAGTTTTTTTTTCGTCTACATTTAATGCTCCATGCACGGACCGTAAATATTCGATGTGACAAATACTGTAGCAACTTTTTGAAAATTAGGGTAGAACTAAACAAGGGCTAAGTTCACGTATGCACAGAATTGTATTATAGGCCTGCTCGGTTGTGCTTGTGCAGCAGCCGCAGCTTGTTTTCGTCTACGAAGAACAGCAGCTGCAAAAAGCTTGGTACTGTATATAATTCAAAAAAAAGGAGGAGAGGATACAAAACTACACAGATTTCGCTCGTCCAAATAAAGATGATAAAACTAGTCCTACACAAATTGTTGCTTACGGAGTATGTCTGGACAGTCCTTTTTTTGTGTGCCTTATTCGGTCAGCTCGCCTAACTACCGGCACGTTTGCTTGTTGATTTCTGAGCTGGTTTGAGCTGGCTGGTGCTGGTTTGTTGTGAGAGGAAAACACTGTTGGCTGGCTGAAACCAACGAACAAACAGGCTGCACGTACTGTGGAAAGGCGCTGAGAAGGAGCGCCGTTACTGTTCTCTCCACCGTTTCAGTCCACTGACTGGAATCGGAAGGGAATGACATGAAACTGAAACGAACTTGACGTGACGCATCTTTTCGCTTGGCTGGCCTTCTGCCGGCCTCCTTGTTATTTCCAGGCATTCTGAGGTCTGACAGGTCCCATTGGATCGAAGAGCCGTTTGAAGCTGAACCGAGCAGCTGTTGTTGTGCCGGCCAGTGCAAGGTCAAGAAGGCTAGCTAGCTGTCTATAGATGTAGAGTCTTCCAGAGTTCCAGTGGCAGAGCTGGATGAAGCTGCCTTTCGACAGCCATATTGAGCGAGAGATCGGCCATCGGATCAAGAACAAGACTTGTATAAGTGAGATCATGCACTCAGGTATACATACCACATATATAAAAGTAATACGGTAGCAGAATGCTCGTGCCACTCATGCGTCTTTGTTTTTATTTATTTATTTACTCTAGCTAATCCTATATATAGATAAGATAACACTAATGTTAAGCTGAGAAGCATCAAGCATGCACTACGACGACATATATATATCCTGATGCTTGAGAGAGAGAAGCAAGCTAGTAGAGATAATGGAGTCATTTAGTTTTTGCTATATATAATATAAAAGCCTCAGCGTAGGGCCCAGTCTCTACACGAACGGATCAGACGAGATCATTTAGCCGGGACTGGGGACGATGATGGTTTTTATAAATCTTCATTCATCATCACGCACGGCGCTCATCCGAACTAGCACCAGCTGCAGCAGTACACAGTAGGCGTTGATGAACGAAGCAAGGATGCGATCGACGTACAACAAGCAAAGCGTCTGTTGCTTGCTTCCATTCGACTTCCGTGGACTCGTGACTCGGATCGTCGCTCCTCCAGTCCAGGGAACGCGTGGGGGTGAGGACGGAGGAAGGAGAGGGATCCGGCGAGGCGATGGCTGTCGTCACCTCCGTCGCCCGATCCACGACAAAAAGCGTGCATGGATCCTGGTGGGTCCTGCCTGTCGGTCGGTCTGTGTGCTCTTGATGCGTGCCCTGCCCGTTGCACTCGGCCGTCCGGGCCGGCGTAAACAGCAGTACAGCATCCAGTGCAGAGATCGAGCCGGAGCCGGAGACAGAGAGAGGCAAAGAGGCCAATGGCCACCACCCACTTGCTCGTTAACCTCCTCGCTGGAGCGTGGACAGTACAGCACGTACATACGGCCAGGTCACTCGGTGGCCACGGGATCGATCGCGATGTGTCTCCTCACTTTGTCCTCGGGGTCCATCGGGCCGGCCCTGGTAGGTTGGCCCCACAGCACTCCCTGTAACTGTTAGCCTTGGCAACCTCTCGCTGCAGATGATGGCCCTCAGGAGTCAGGCTGGTACGAATCTGGAGCGCCAGCGCCAAATTCGGCGGGCGGCATTGGCCACTATGGGTAAAACAACAACAAGCCAGCCAGCCGTCCAGCCCGATGGCCCTCACTCAGCCAGAGAGATGGGCAAAAAAATAAAAAAAATGGTGGATGAGAAGGCGAGCGTGTGATGGTGAAATGGAGAAAAATGGTGGATGAGAAGGCGAGCGTGTGATGGTGAAATGGAGAGAAACAATGCACGGCACGACGAACGATTCATTGCGCCCTTGTGCGCTGGGATTGTTACCCTGCACTGCACCGCTATGTCGTGGCAGCACCACCTGTCGACGCGACACCCCATGTCCGTTCGTCACTGGACCGGCCGTAGCATACCCATAGGTCTCCAGCCCTGGCGTCCGGCGTCGGCTCTGCCGCCTCGACCGACTCGGTCAACGGAGTGGCAGAAACGAAACCAAGTATTTTACGGGCTTGGGTCGCTAATGGCTTTCAATGCGGGACTAATGGCGTCACATGGGTGTAACGACAAACGGGGACGAGTAAATGCGTTCGAATCGGCCATGTCTTCTTCGTCCAGCCCACCGGGCCGCGACTTCTTTTAACACTACGACTAGTGTATCATTATCATTATTATCAGGGAGAGCTAGCTTAGCTACGACAAGATCTTGCATTGCACTTGCAGCCAAAGAGCCTGTTCATTTATTGGTTTCAGCCATAATTTATCAATTATGGTACAGTATTTTTCTCTCACAATATATTAGCACCAACCGAGCTTATTAAACCAAAAACCGACCAGCGAAAAGACTGAAAATCCAAAGGGATAGCTACAGATCGGAAGTGTTCTTTGTTCTGCAGGCAGCCGCCGCTAATGTTAGGGCTTGTTTAGA